TTTCCTGCATACCTCCTCATATTTTATGTGAAGGAAAATGTGGACAAATCCGCACAGTTTTTTATTTTCTACAACAAGCATCATGTTACATTTTCAGCAATTTACCAACCTCAACTGAGCATTGATATTGTTTCATGAGCTTGTTCTAAATTTTTTTAAGAAGCAGAAATGAAGGAAACAAATAATGGTGACATGAAAGGGAAAATACTATTTTTAGAAAGTGCTATGTGCAAATATGTTGTTTGTAAAAATTCAGTTAGCTATACATTTATGAACAGTTTCCATTGTATGTTTTTCTTCAATAAAAATGTTTAAATAATTGGACTACAAAAATATGTATGACACACTGAAAAAAATGTGTCTATGCCCTAGTTTTGCCTAAGATCATCCTAGAAGGAAAAAAATGAAATTCATTAGTGCCAACAAGAGTTTTGGGAAGAGAGAGAATAGGAACTTGACCACTGCCTTCAGGAGCTAACCTGCAGAACAAAGATGCCACACCTGAGTGGCAGGCACTGATTACTGCTCAGGTCTATACTTACTGTGGGAAACATAATTCTCTCAGGCTATCCTGAAACTTAAAGGAGATGTGCCTTAAATCCATCTAGTTCTCTTTGATCTGGCTGATTGTATGCTTGCCAAGGCCATCTAGCACTAACAAATTGAGCTTCCCACATATATTGATGTGAGAGAGTAGTGTGCTAGGAAGACAGCTGGTGCTTATCATAGATTACGCTAGATGGAGTTTCCTGTATAAATAAGCTGGGTGCTGATTTACGAATCACTCCCTTCAGAGTCTGATTACTGTGAGCCAATTCAACATGGGAACAACTTAGAAGTGCTGAGAACTGAGAAAATCTCTAGGAAAGAAGGGACAGTACAACAATGCAGAAACAATTGTGCATCCTTGCAGGGCCAGAAGAGAAAGTGAGAACACAAGAAACACGTGGCCTATGAAAACTAAGGGAGTCGAGTATTATGAAAAGTTGCAAACTTGAAAAAAAAAGAAGAAAAACAGAAGACTATCTTTGGTACTTCCTATCCAAAAGAGAAAGCCACTCATTTTCCAAGGAATAATGTTGCTTCTGCCTATCCCATGTATATCCTCAGACTCCTCTGAAGAGCACTTTTGCAGAACTGTTTAGGCATTTAGGAACATGCATAGATGCATGTAACAACGATTAGTGGAAAAAAAAAAGAGGCCACAAATGTGACAGGCAGAAAAGAAAGGTAGATGAGGAGAATGGAGGGAGAAAGGGAAGGAAGGAATGGTGTGATTACATCATAATCTCAAAAAATAAAAGTAATTTTTCTAAAGAGAGAAATTCTACTTTGAGAGTCAGTTTCTCCTACATCTCAGTCTTGGCCATCCCTCTCCACCCTCAGCATGAGCAGAGATCTCTCTGTGGGTGTATTTCACTTATCTAACCAAGAAAATTGACTCAGGAAAGCTCATGACCCTCATAACAGGAAGATTCTGTCTTGAGGTCTATGCAAGCTCAAGCTAATAATTTAAGACTGGCATTGCCTAGTCTATCTCCACCACAGTGTAAGACTACATAACACCAATTCAGTGGCCATCGGATAGAATGAATCTATAAACACGTGTGTCTAATACAAATGCTAAACAAGCTCCCAGGAAAAAAAAGGAAACAAAAACAGGAAGACATCACTGTTCCTAGATATGATGGAGGAGAAGGTTTATTGTAGATATGAGGGAGGGTATAGCCAGAGACATAGACAACTAGGAGAGTCCAGAGTGAACATAACCCTGAGCCAAGCCACATCAGGATAGGGGAGAGGAGAGAGGAAGGAGACCAAGAAACCAAGAGGGTAAAGGGTAAAAATAAAGAATAAAAAAGGACTGGTATAGTCAACCTGGCTTGATTATATAAGGAAGGGCACCTGGAGGAAGGGCAGCCCAGCCACTGGGCTGGAGAGGTTTATGGTAGCGGGCAGGGTATGCCAGCCATATCCTGTAACAGGTAGGGACTGAGGGATGCTGGGAGAGCCTGGTGGCAAGGTCAGTCTTGTTAAATATGTTATATAGGTACCTCAGTTATCCATTGATCCCAGGTTTGAGACCTAACACCCAGAAAATAATGTGAATCTACACCATCCAAAAAAACTAGCAGGGTCTGAGTAACCTGGCTCCAGGGATAGGGGCAAGCAGACTCTTTATAGCATGAACTGGACTTCTGAATCTATACTTTATTTCATGCAGTCAATAAATCCCTAATTTTGGTAAATTCGTTGGAGTGTGTTTTTCTCTTCCTTGAAATGTAATGGGAGAAATTTAGACTTAAAGAAAAGAGCTATGAAAAAATATCTTTGTCATCCACAGTAATTAAAGGGAAATTATTTTTATTCAAATGCTAGCAACTTGACAGGGGAAAAGGAGCCACTGGATTCAGAGACATCCTACATCAATGTCAATTTGGGAGTGCTAATTAAATGTAAGTAGCATAATGTGCTTTTCATGCTTAAAAGATATAAACTTGACATATAATCATCACAGACCTTCGCAAAACACATTCTCCTAGGATGGTGTCTACCGAATCAATCAGGTTATTTCCAAGCTAACACGGTAAGGACAAAGGCAACACAAGACTCAAAATAACTTGATAAGGTCTCACCTTTATTGATCCCCATCAACCAAAATAGAACTTCTATTAAGAATGTCAGTGAGGCACTCCAGCCAGGGAAGCAAATCAGTGTCTTGTTCAGACACCAGCCTCCTTCAGCAGATAGGAACAAATACATAGACCCACAGCCAAACATTATGCAGAGAGGGACAGATCTTGGAGTACTCAGCCCCAAACAGGATGTCTTCATCAAATCCCTCCCCTCAAGGTTCAGAGAACCCCACTGAAGAGGAGGTAGAAAGAATAGAAAAGCCAGAGGGGATGGAGGACACCAGGAAAATAAGGCCCTTTAAGTCAACATGATCCAAGCACATATGGATTCAGAGAGACTGAGGCAGCAAGCTCAGGGCCTACGTAGATCTGTACCAGATCAGGGCCCTAGAACTGAAATAAGAGGATGCATGCCTGCATGGGCCCACCCCTAACCCAGAAACAATCTCAAATTGATAAATTTAGTTTCCTCTTAAGGAGTCTCACTGGGAAAACAAACTACCCTTAAGGGTAGGCGACATGCCCAGCATTAGATGGCCAACAGAAAACGGACTCAACAGAATCTTCAAAGGGTCCTTGTCTCATAATGTTGTGCC